GAATCCGACACCTGGGTTCCCAAACGAACGAACGGAAGCGAGTTGACGAAGGTGCGGAAGCGAGAACGCGACAAAAGGGAAAGCCGACCACAGGTCAACAAACCCGGCGCCCTGAAGAAAACCGAGCGGACGCCCAATTTTCTTGAGCCAATAGGTCACGGGCGGCACATGTGTTTTACATGTACTTGGTGAACCGTGACTGAATGAAATGACTGTACATGTGGTAATGCTGTTACATGCTAGGGGTACATAAAAGTTGACTACAAAACAGCAAATCCGGACGCCCGGCGGTGGAGAAAGGGAAACGGGCCGACACAGATGGCCGCGGGACGCGCAGACCGGGACAAGGCCTGCGCTCGGCCGACTGGACCGGGCGGAGAAGAAAGGGCCAACCGGAGCGGCGATGCCCCAAAAACGCATGTCTGCATCTACCTTGTCTATGTCTATGTGCACGCAGATGCAGATGCAGTATGCAGGAAAATTACGTGTACGGCATACGTAGATCTTGCTTCGGCTGGGATCCCTCTCATACAGCGGTGTGCTTCCTGGGCATCTGTAAACAGGGCAACAACATGCTAAAGTCCAGTCGGAACCCAATCGACCAAAGCAGAAACCAATTCGGTTCATATCACTGCGCTAGTACTGGTTGATGCTTTTTTCCCAGCAAATTCAGCCATTCACCTTCAGTGAAGCCCTCGTTCCCGAACAGGCCCATGGCCACCCGCATCTGGTCTGTGCCGTAGATGTCTTGTGGTCCGAGCAGTGACCAAAGCCGCTGTAAGTCTGGAAACTTGGCACCTTTGCCAGAGGGCAGAAAGTACATGAAACCGACTGTCTTTTTGGCAGCAATGGAATCTGCTATGGTCTCTGACCCCAGCACTTGCCAAGCTGGGCTCAAGATCTCCTCCTCATCGAGGATGTCAAGGAGGGGCGCAGCCAAGTGCCAGCCCACGAGCAGTACGACAAAGCGAGAGCCGATCTGTTTGAGGAGCCTTACTGAAGTACGGGCCTCTTCTGCAACAAATTCTTGCTGCATGTCACGGAGGGTTTGGCCCTGCACGCGGTCTTGCTGACCGTCGACCCGGGCAAGCTCCTTGAGTTCATCAAAAAGACCTTGTCCATAGCCCTCGGCTGAATAGAGGCAAGCTGCTATTGGAACCTCGAAATGTCTAATCCAATGCCACAAGGCACGTGCCTGGATGGTATCGGGCGGCACAGTTCGAAGAAAGAAGGGGTAAGAGTCCTTGTTGGACAATGCAGGGCTGGTTGCACAGCATGATACTTGGGGAATCTGCCGAACAGCAGCCACAGTGGCAATTGGCATTGAGACTGATGAATACGAGGGGCCGATCAATCCAACGACCGGTTTCTCACCCGTCTGACCAGACATCAAGTCCAAGGCTGCAGCCATTCCCACTTCCTGTGTTCCAAACGTTCTTTCCATATGCAAACTGATGGCTCCAAAACTTGCATTGGGATGCACTCCACCAGGGATGGTGACGATGGGGGGACCTAGCCGAGCAGCCAACGAAGCATTCCAGTTCTTTTGGTAGTCAATGAAAGCAGCTGCGGGCGCTGCCAAGTTTCTTCCCGAGACACCAAGAGCTCCAAGCGCGATCTCAAAACAAGGTGCAACGCAACAAAAGCATCTGGGTGACAATAGTGCCAGCAAAAACACCGCCTTTGAAGCATTGGCGCACCCTGCCAGCCAAGCCATGCGCACGGCCCAAGACACGGATCGGCCGAGTACTCTGGCTGCATGTTTGGTGTTATCATGAAAATACCAAGTGTTGCAACAATATGCAACAATGTTTGCTCCACTTGGAACAGCCAGCCACTCAAGTAGAAATTGTATGAAGGTTTTGTAGCTCGCACCAGGAAAGACCTGGGACATCTGGAAACAGCACCGGACAAGAAGCAACAGGTCTCAAAAACACTGTAAGTCCCAAACAACTTTGACATGACTACGATTCGGTTTGAGAATGCAGAAATGTCAGTGAGCAGATTTCTTGGAACTTGGTGCCACATACATCCACTGGGCACAGCCTCTGTGGGCCAGTCAGGGCTCGAAAAATGAGACTCTTCTTCGGCCTGGGATGCGGCCGAACTCCTACAACCCTGAGAGAAGTCATGCGCGAACACACATGTGAGACATTACATACGAGAGCACACATGGGAAAGCACCCCTAAGATCACATTTTTGAGCAAACGAACGACTGGGAGCACAGACCACAGAGAGAATACATATGAAAGTACTCACATGACAGCACAGACATATGAGCAAAGAACACATGTTTGCACTTCAAGGTCCGGCTTACAAGCACAGCGCCTGCCACGAGATCTGCACTTGGGTGCAGAAAGTGGCGCATGTGTCTGCCACGAAATCTGCACATCATGATTCACATCCCGCAGCCCTGCCAGTGCGCCCCGCAACAAAAGCATTTCGAAAGACAACCATCGCGTGATGTCCAAACGAAGCGAACATCGCGCGAGGTCTATCGCCCTACATCGCCCAAATGCTGAAACGAGGCACATGTCCCAAGCTCACGCTTCACTGCTCCTTCACTGCTCCAAATCAAAAACAGTTGAACAACCAAGTGGATCAAATGCAAGTAAGCTACACATCTGCCCCAAACCAACCATACCGTTAGCAGCTGCACAAAGCTTGCCACAAACCACCCACCAGGTCCAAGGCGCTTCGAAGTCCTCCACGGCTCCGATTTCCTGCGTCTGCCCGCGAAAAGTCCACTGTGGACCTGCGCCTGCCAACGAAAAGTGACCACCAAGCCCAAGCCCGAAGATGCGCAACCGGCGCTACACCTACAAGAGCGCAGTCGAGAAAAAGCACCCGAGCATACGCAGTTCACGTGCACTTCGAAGATCTCTGGAGGCATGAGTTGCGCCAGAAATAGCAGCGAATTGGCCGCACCCGCCGATGAGCACCCTCGATCAAACCCAGTGTTCCGAACCCATAATGTCCAGATTCATCAACTCAAACTGTCGTTCAAGCTATGTGGGGAACACACAAAAGCATTAGATCAGTTTTTTTTGTATATGTTATGTGATGAATTGTGATGAAGGCCCAAGGCTTTGACCCCACTATAGATTCCAGGAAAAGCTTAAATCCGAAGACAAATTGCAGTTTTTTGCACCATCTTCGGGCGCTGAATGTCTTTACTTCGGCGATCACTTTCCAACACTTCCACGATGCTGGGCCTCTGGCGGATGCTTCCACGACGAAGCAGGTGGTCCGAAGTCGGACGAAGCTGCCGCTTGCGATGGGAGCCTCCCGCCTCACGGCCTGCAGAGGTGGTATGGGGTCTGACCAGGCAGAGGCAGTGCTCGTCTCAGGTTTTGCAACATAGGGAGGATGGTTGCAACGTTCCCAACCTGTAAAAGCGCGGTAGATATTTGGCTCCGACCACCCATTCAGTGATGCGACTGTGTTCAAACATGAGAAGGTGTGCTCCCGAAACGGAGCTGTGCAGAGCCGGCTCGGGCGGAAAAAGTAAACGTTTGCTTTGACTTCAGAGTGCTTCGAACCCTTCGAACCCCTCCAATCGTTCTGGATGTTCTTTGTTGAATCCACATGGTCTCCAGAAAATGCCATAGCCCATCCCAACGACCCACGGAACAGGTGGAACCCAGTAAAAGGTCAGTGTCACTGCAGCTCGGCAGCGCGGCAGCTCCGATCGCTGAAAAGAAAAAGGACTGCAGGGGGTGTCCTACTTGCTCGGTAGATGTCCTACTGCAGCCTTCTCATGTCATTGGAAGGCCTGCGCCGACGTGAGATTGGTGTAGAGCTACAGAGATGGTACCGCTTCGACAGAAAGGCCGGAGATGCAAGAACTCTCACAGAACATCTCACAACTAGTATATAAGTCTGCACAACATATGACACACCTAGAAGTAATCCCGCTCACTACTGCCTGCTTCACTCCTTCTGGGTGCTGCTGACGTCTGAACGTCCCTCTTGGAGTGATGTGTGACCCTTCTTAGAACACCACAGAACACCACAGAACGTCACTTGACAACAAGGAACGGATCTTCGTCACCTGAAACCGTGGCGTTCGGTCTCGGTCTCAGGTCGCCACGAACACATCTGTTTGGACCGCGACCAGCGAGCGAGCGAGCGAGCGAGGTTGCACCGCACCGGGTAGATCAGAGACGTACCATAGCATCGCCATGCATCCGCCCCTCCTTTCCATCCATAGCATCCATCCTTCCATCCATCCATCCATTCATACATCTCATTCATCTGGCCCTCGCCATCCCCAAGTCATCCTTGCAGCACTATATATCTCAGTGATCCCAGCGATGCAGCGATCGAAAAACCTCTCTGCGCCACCTTTTGCACCATGGTTAGGGTTAGGGTCTATCCTATTAACCAGGGCCCATGATGATTGTTAGGTTGCAGGCCCACATCTCTAAAATCGTGAATTGCTTGTTTACCCACTGTTACAGGTAAGAACGGGCAACCCCAGACCATGGTATTCTACCAAATGCTTCTGTCTTCCATCCCCCACTTCGTTCAAACATGACTGCTTCAGCCATGGGAAAGCCTGTCAGGCTTTCGTAGCCTGTCAGACTTCAGCCTTTAGAGGTCACATCATGTGCCACATCTATAGATGTTTAGAATCCCCCCTTCACCCCCAGCTGAGAGATGAAATCATAGAATCCCCCGGATGGAATCCTTTGCATCAGTGCCTTGTCTCACTAAGATCCACCCACTTCCAGCCATCAGTCTGCTCTCATGACGCCTCCATGGTGCCGCAGGACCGCATGACTGCGGCTGCGTCCGCAGTCATGCGTCACCTGCTATCGGGGCTTAAAGCGACTGGATTATTTCGGACTCAGCTTCTCTTGGACTGGGCTGATCTTGGTGGTTTTAGAGATTTTAGAGTAGATGCTGATAGTGAGATTGCGCTCAGGCTGGGTTGAGGTGCCATGGACTCTGAACTGGCAATGTGAACCAATCAACAGGCACTATGAGGCCATCAGGGTCATCCATCGGGCCTGCCCAAAGGGGACATCTACCTCAGATCTACAGCAGTATCTGTTCCTGCCAGTATAATCTTACTTGGACATGGTTTACCAACTCACCTAGTCCAAATCAAAGATCTCCAGCTTGAAGCAAGCTTTCTCGCATGTTCTTTTTTTTCATGTGGGACGCCCCAGTCCAAACGCGCGTCACATCGGTCCATCAGCTTCACCTGAGCTAGTCCCTCTGCCTGAGATAGTCCCTCTTTCGGTCCCCGGAGTCGATGCCACTTCCGAAGATGAATTGGAGTCAGACAAAGACGGCATCGAATCCGAATCCTCCCCTTCCATGACCTCAAACTCTGCGTCTTCGTCCAGGTCTTCGTCTAAAAGCTCATCAAGGTGCCAGGCGATCATGTAGATGGACAGCGTCAGGCTCAAGAGCTGTGTAAAGGCTTCAAACAAGCTGTTCACCTCAGCTACGTCTGCAGAAAAATCAGATGTGTTCGCCCACTTTCACACAGTCTTGGGTCTAAGAAGTCTAAGCTGGGAACCCGTCACAAAGGCATCCAAAACCCATGAATCCACTTGGGGGACTCATGGACGAAAAGCCAAACCCGAGCAGCTCCACGCAACTTGACTCACATGTCTTGGGCCTATCCATGTCATCTAGCGCCCAGTGGATGATGATGGTTAGGTACTAGGCCTTCTCCAAAAATAGTGATAGTTGTTTACTGACTGTTACAGGTAATAGGATAGACCCAACACATGTCGCACGTGTGACTCACGTGATTTCCAACTAAACAGGCTTGGCATTCCTGAGATCTAGCAGGGTGAGCCCCGAAAACCAGCTGAGCCCCTCACGCAATACACCAGGCTATAGGACGTGATACAAAGCGAAAAGAAGGCTTCGAAGCCTCTCTCTCCATGGAGTGTCACCAAGTCGTTTCTCATGACACCTCGCTGTACGCTCTGGCGTGTCGCTTCAACGACATGCAGCAGATTGCAAAAGAAGACCTGCAGGGAGTCAATGACCAAAGTGAGATTGTATGGGGCAGGAAGGTATTCTCTATTTGTTTGCGGGAGTGAACTTCATGACAGGAACCTTCTTGGGTCTCTGCATGTTCAAGCCTTCGCAATGCTGGTATTTCCAGCTGATGAACAACGACTGAGGGTATAGTCAGTCCCCATTCTTGAACCAAATATAAACAAGTCAAGACTTACTGTAACAAATCATTTTGGAGGCACGTGAAAATCCTAACAAACTCGTTATTCACCAAAAAGCTACGGCTGGTTGACCTGTCGCAAAGCTATCAGCCCAGCTTGCCCACCCACCACTCACTTACCTGGTGCATGATGGTGTAAGAGATCACCAAAGTCATCGCAAAGGCAAAGGGATACATCCCACAGGCCAGCAACAGGAAGATGGTGTTAAAATCCAAGATGATGTCCAGGAACATCAGGGCAACTTTGACCCACAAGCTCCTGAAAGGCCTCTTGGCATCAAAGCCAACTTCTAGATCAAGAGCATCTGGAAGCATCATTTGCCCTGCATGAGATACAAAATGCATGTTCTGAAGTTGTATTGTTTAGTTACGTTCATTGCAGCAAACCTCCATCAGAATAGTCAATGAAAACAAACCTAGAGCCTATGGGAGAGATGGGTGGTTGTATGACCCCTCAAGAAAGTAGTTGAATCTTCCTATTTGAGCCCCGAATGCTCATGTCTGCAAACAAAACTCTTTCTAGCGCAGATGGCAGAAGTATCGTTTCAGCAGCCGCCTGGCTGTATCTTCTCTTGTTCCATGAGGTCTGTCACCTGCTTCCAAAGCTCATTCTTCCTCATCAACTCGTCAGTGCTGGTTTGGCCTGTTTTGCTGATTGGGTCAGACAACAGCAACAACATCTCAAGCACCTTGGGACTACAGCGCATCAACCATCCATCAAAAATCCGTCAACTGTTGCACATAGAGGGTAAATTGGCCGAGAAAGTCCAAGAAAACTACAGAAAGTCCAAGCGGGGCAAGCACCTATGTAAATTACTATCTAATATAATTTGATGGGTTTCTTTCCCACACGTCTGAAATCATTCTACTCTCAGAACTGGATTGTATCCAGACCCTCGTACAAAAGGGAGAACTGATCCAAAACCAACCCTTTGTGAAGCAACAGGCAACTACGCAGCAGGCAGCTGCCAAGGATGGAATACCAGGATGCTTGGGTGTGTCGGCAACAGGTTGACGCTGTGACGTTGTTGAATAAGACCCGATGCTGGGAACCACCAAGTCTTGTTGCCAATGAGATGTTCGGTGACTGAGGTCTACCACCCCACGATGAACACCTCAGTCAACAAGCCAAACAGACTTCATCCGTTCGTTTCTTTTTCATCCACGACTTCCGGCCTGAACAAGAGCTGAACACGTGGACCCAAAGGTACATCATCGAGATCAAGATGTAGATGACTGCCGCGCAAAACGTCATCATAAGCGCCGCCCACAGGAGGTCTTCTGCGGAGATAGAACCAAATCCCCATTCCCAGCGCTGGTGCCCCAACCAGCCAGTCAGCTTCCGGTTGATGTCTTTGAACCAAGGGTTGATCTTTATGAACGGCACCCAAGCACCTACCACGGGAATCCAAGCACCAACATCATGCGCCCAATGCAAAAAGGAACTGTCCAAAAGCCAACAGGGCGGATCCCAACCACTGGGATCAGAGGTCAACCACCTCTGCTCGCACTGGAAGTAATGCGCCGTTGGGATATCCAGCGTGCCGGCATAGACAATCAGGATCCCCAGCGTTAGACTGATGAATCGAAGAAGAGCCCCAAAGACGTGTAGAGGTCCCCGCGCTGCGATCAACAGCATGGGCTCTTGGAAGAGCTTTCCCTTCCACCGACACAAAGCCGGGCCGATGAAGACCACTACCCAGAGGCCCAACCACCAGTCCCAGCGCACGATCCACAGCCCCAACGCGCCACAGATCACCACGTTGCACATCGCCTCCAACCACCGGAACCACCAGCCCCACCGCGCCGGTGCGCGCGAGCCTCGCTGCGTTCGGGCGATCAGCTTCCACTCACGATCCCCTTACCGTCCAAGCCGACCAGCGGACCGGCGGACCAGCGGACCAGCGGACCGGCGGACC